TGTATGGTTAAACTACCTAAAGTTATTTCTTTTTCGTTATTGAGTAGGTTTTCAAGACTACTAGAAAATCAAATATATGAGTTGTGTTCACCCTACTTTGTTTAAGGTGATGAAGGACTGGTAGTTGATTTTTCCCACATTGATATGAGTAGAGCTGACGTTTTCCATTGAATTTCGCATAGCCTTGATTTCTCAAAAGTCGTTCTCATCCAGACACCAGTGGACTGCAGATTCGACCTCGCATCGGTCTTATCAACGCCCCTAGCGGGAGTCGAACCATGACAGTTCAAGCTTGACCCCCAAGCCAGTGATTAGAAATCTGTGAAATCATTTCGCCACAAACTTTAAGATAGCAAGATTGTTTCGAGGAAATGTTGCTTAGGCAATTTGTCCATTTTATAACGACTCCAGTTTCCACAAATTGCACATGAACTTGCCATTGAAACGGTTTGTTCCGGTACTTTGCGAGCGAATTCAGCGAATTTGTCTAACCAGGTGATGTTTTAGGACCAAGATCCAATCAAATCTAGCGTAAACCGGATTTTTATGCTATCAGTTACAACATGCCGCCAGTGGTGTTGCCAGGGTGAACTTCAATACACCAAATTCTATTTAACTGCCGTCCTCGTGTGACGCAATCACTCAATGGGCATACCCACCTGAAACACACGCAACCACTCGCCTCTGGCCTGAATTGCCTCCAAAAGTCACGCCTTTCAAGTCGGCCAATCCGCTCGACGGCAAAGACATGGCCAACCTGAAAGCAAAGTGACTTTGGCTGTTGGAGGCCTGATTTAGTTGCTATGCCAACTTGCGATGTACGTGCTAATTCGGACGCCAATGCCAACCTGAGAGCTAATTGGCATCAAGGACCTTGGCCCCCAGGCCTCACCATCTTTGGGGGTGTGCCCATGTCGGCCTGTTAGTCGTGTTTTAGGCCAAATCTACCACTTAGTCGACTTGTCTGCCTGTACCGAAGATGGGGCTATGGGAGAGAAGAGCGCCGTAACTGTGGCCGTTCGTTTGCAGCCGTGGGCGCCAGCACCACACCCTCATTTAGACCATATTTGCCTGGATTGTTTACCCTCTCCTCTTCATCCCACTCACCCATGGCCGCATGGCCTCCATCCGACCAACCGGCCGGTCGTGGATATATGCGTGCTGTATGGCCGAGGGTGATCATGGAAGCGTGAAGGGACCGGT